GCGTAGTCTCGAGATTAACGTGAAATAGGCTGTTCACAAGCATAGTAGTCTACGAGGACTCCTTCTTAGTTAATCTGAAAATTTTGGGTCCAGCTGACCTTACAGCTGCTATAACTAATCAATTGCTGTCGCGCATAAATATTCAGGATTATTGATGGAATCCCTACCCAGTATACGCTGGAACGGCTGGTTGAGCCTAAGAGCACTACCAGATGTAACAATAAGTTCTCTCAAACTCGCTTTCAATTGATCTCAACCATTCTTCCAATCATTCAAAACCTCGCGCACGGAGTCTGCTGGCCGCCCGCGTATTATTGATTAGGCGGGAGACACTGTCGTCTGGTGTCTGACCCCAGCGTACCCACAGTTGTGATGGCGTTCGCTGCGGGTCCAATCACAGGACAAGAAAAGTTTCCACACGCACACCCAGCGAGGAAAAGGTGCGTCGAAGACTCCAAGACAGGGGTAACGTATGTAATCTGCTGGAAAGGAGAGGGGTAAATGCAGAGGTTCATGGTAGTGACATTAACGGGGATGAAAGACTCGCTTCTCAGTCTCGCAGTAGAGCGCGATATCTACGAGTTGGTCGTAAAGGAATTCGCGAGGAATTAGTGAGTAGTGTATGCAGTATGTATGTAAAGTGTAAGAGTCGGTAGCTAAGTAGTCAATTTGTTCACCGAAACAATATCACTGATTAGTGCGTTTCTTGTTTCGCTGTTCAATATATTGAGGGCGGGACCAAATTTTATATGCTTTCCGCAACGATCAAGATTTTAATTCCAGTACAGAAGTTATGGTTTTTGTGATAAGGAAATTTATTTATCCAATCCAGTTGAATATTTATTCTGAGTTAGGTATGAGTAACCATGTAGTCGCCAAACCTTGAGAACACGAATGCGTACAAAGTTTTTCCTCATACTAGGGCCATTTTCCGCGATGTGCGTTTCCAGAGTTGTGAGTATAAAGTAAGAGTGTCATGAACTTCCCATATCTTAAGTAGGTTGGGCAAAGTTTAACGCAAAAGTGCGCATATGCCGTTACGTTCGGGTAGATTACGCCGTCACGCCATATCCATCATTGGGATATGGAGTGTGCTTCATAAGCAAGAATCTTCCAGTTTTTGGAATCCGTTAACTTTGTTCTGGATTATGTGTGACCGGAGATATAACCTTCTTGAATGATGAAAGCTATGAGTGCGGAAATTTTTCGCGCTAATACTAATTTGATTTTTCGATCCCCAACATCACCTATACTCTGTTTTTACTGTCTTCTAGGACTAGGCTGAGGCATTGCGTCAGGAAAGATCGCTCACTTGGTACGACCCCACCAGAAAAGAGTGTATACGATCCCTCTTTACTGACGGTCAAGGTATTTTTCTCCAGTCCGTTCGCCGTCTGACGCCGGCGCGCCTCCTTCCGTGATACGGCCCGGCTTCGCCGGGCGGGCGCGGCTTCGCCGCGCTTACCTCCTTCTACACTGGATACTCAACAAGTTATCCGGCTTTTATTTCACCTGTACACATAGTCAACGCTCCTTGAGCAATAACATCATACCTGCTACTTTCGACACTATTACCATCTATGAAATGGTGGTAAGCAGCGTTGATCAAGTGTGCAGATGAGAGAGAAACCGGGTATGACGAAGCTGAACAAAACCGGTAAAGCCTGGCCCTATTAGAAAAGGAGTCGCGCCGGCGTCAGCCAGCGAACCGACTGGTATCAAATGTACGTGTGACAACAGGTGTTCAAGAGTGTGGCGGCCTATGCACTAAAACGCAGTGAAAGTAGGGACCCCGTGCTTGAGAACACGCTCCACCCACTGTGGGCGGGTCTCAACACACCACAGACATGCTGAACTCTCGCCATATGTTTCTCTTCTTCAAAAGTTTTTCCTGATCTCCAAGCTCACTCAGATGCGGACCACGAAATTTTTCAGCAAGAGCCTGCCCATCTCGAAAGCAGCCCGCCCATTTTTGAGATGTCTCCTTCCAGTTCGTCCGCTAACCCCATGTGGACCTCAATGCTCTGCAACTAATTCGTGAATTTTTGACCGCCCGCCCACAACATCGACACAGCTCCGCACAGAATGGGCGCGTAAATCTCGCTTCAATAGCGGAGCTCCTGCACATTTTTGCTCGCCTTTTGCCGGTGCCTGGAGTCTGTTCTGGAACCATTTTACAGATTTCTGCGTTTGGCTCCGCCCGCCTCGCCGCACGCTCCGCCTACAACGGCTGTGTGCCGCATCAACCGGTGATCCCTCCTGACCACTATCCACTTCCATGTTTTACAGAACTTTTGGCTCTCCGTCCACCTCGGGCAGGCTCCGCCCACAACATGTGTGCCTCACATTTCTTACCGGCGACCCTTTGCTGACCTTAATCCACTTTTTCCGGTCCCTGGAGTGCTCTGGAACCGTTTTACAGAATTTTTTGTCTGTCTCCGCCCACCTAGGCTGGTCCCGCCCACAACATGTGTGCCCCACATTTCTTACCGGCGACCCTTTGCTGACCTTGATCTGCTTTTTTCCCGTCTCTTGAGCGCGTTTTACAGAATTTTTGTCTGTCTCCGCCCACCTCGTGCTGGCTCCGCCCACCTCGGGCAGGCTCCGCCCACAACATGTGTGCCTCACATTTCTTAATCGGCGACCCTTTGCTGACCTTAATCCACTTTTTTCCGGTCCCTGGAGTGCTCTGGAACCAAGCTACAAATTTTTGAATGGGCACCCTATGAATGAGAGCAAGCTCCGCCCACTGTGGGCGGGTCTCAACACCTCAGGCATGCCGAACTCTTCCCAGGTGTTGCCCTCCTACACCGACTTTTTTGCGACTTCTAAACTCTCTCGGGAACCGAGTTAATGAATTTCGTGGGAAGCACCGCCTATCTCAAGACGCCCCCCATTTTGGGTATGTCTCCCCTAATTAGTCTGACAACCCCTTGCTAACCTTATTCCACTTTTTCCCCATCTCTGGGCTGCTCTGGAAGCGAGTTATGAGTTTTTCTGCGGCTCCGCCAACTTTCGGCGCATGCCTCGCCACAGTGTGGGCGGGGTTTACCATGGGCCGCTATTTACATCTTGCCCCATGCCCTACCCATCCCCACCTTGACCCGACCTCTCCAAGTTGTTCTTCAGGTCGAACCGAATTTCCGGACACAGACAAACAAACAAACAAACAAACAAACAAACAAACAGACAAGCAAATTATTTACAGTGGATGGTGTTTCTGCGCCGCGTGTCGTATTGGAGCGCTGCATGGCCCAGTGGACTTGTGGTGAAACTCCACCTTTCTTGCATATTTTAAAACTTCATTCGCAAACGATATTTTACAGAACGGTGAGCAAGGTCGTGATTGCTGGGGAGCCTTCACTCGAAATGCACTAAAGCTTTCGCATACATTGTGTAGCGGCTTCGGTCCAAATGTGAGGGGAAAGGTTTTAGCCAAGAATTTTTGGTGAAGCGATGTTTGCTGAACATAGCTTCACTCTGAAATAACGTAGATCTGCACGGATTTGAGGACTGAAAAACCTCGCTTCTCAATAAGCACGCTATTTATGTCTCAGGTCTACCATATCGAAACAAAAATCCCGATTCGCAGTTTAAGATATGGGATCTTCAATTCACCGAAAAGCTCCTTCCGCCATATTGCATAAAGTCCCATCTACAAACTTCAAAAGGCCCTCAGCTCACCCCCTTTGCTTGTGTCAAGTAGAGACTGTAGACTCGCATTCGAAGTCGCCGTAGCGCTTATAGAAACGACCTATAGACTAATCACAGGAACGTGTTCTCTATAAAGACAACCTGTACACTTACCTCCTAGGGCGATTCTCGCCATGTGGAGGCGGACGGCTCTGCAGCTGCAGCTGTGCGCCACTTTCGCCGCAAAAAAGTGCACGGAAACGGGTCGTAGGGTAGTGGTACCGAGTGCGATTTCCATACTCCGCAAAAGCTCATATTGTCAAGGTGCAGCACTTGCGTCGATACCAAAGTCCCACAGCGGAACACACACTCAGTTACAAAACCTTTACTCGTCCGACACCATTGCCTTCTTCAGAGCCTTGAGGAGATGTCAGTCCCCGTGTGCAGTGTGTAGGGGAGTGCCGACCGCAAACGACACCTCCTCAACAGTCTCTGAAGAAGGCAATACTGCTGAAACATCAGTCGATTAAAGATTTGTAACAATCTCGGATTGCTAAGAAAGTTCTTTAAATATTGCTGTCGTCATGCTGAGATTGAGGAAGAGTCGATTATGGACACACTCAGTTGTTGAAAACTACCAGAAGAAAGGGCGCAAACAAGTAGTTTGGCTGTGGATAGGGTGTGGATGCGGCAGCGCGGGCGCAGTATGGATAAAGCATACGGATATCGCTACACCTCACCTACATAGTTCCGATGCTCTTTTGTCCAGAAAAGTGGAAAGCTACAGCTGTTGCGGACCCCTTCCCCTAACCTGTGGTATGACTGGGATCAGCCGAGGTGAATGTCAGTTTGTCTTTGAGGGAGCTCATTTCTTCTTTGCTTTCGTTGGCAATCTGGCAGAATCAAGTCCTCGCTAAACTACTGTTGGAATGGAGCCGTTACAAAGGGAATCAATGTAGAGGAAATGAAAAGAAAAAATTAATAAGTGCTGCTTGATTCACTTGTACATACTCGAGCTGAATCCGAGATTATAGTGATTGGAAGGATACGTCAAGCTGATATTTGATTCAGTTTTGTTTATTTCATAGCTCCTCACCTATTGCATAACAACGCGAAACGATGTGCGTGTCAGGGGAGGGGGCGTGGAGTGGGCCCACCGGCGTCTGTGTATGCTACGAATTGTTGCCCGATTCAACAAGCATCTGTTGGTACAAAGCACAGTCGCCGGCGGGCTCATCCCACACCAAAGACACGCCCCATCTCTTCGCCGTGTTGTTCACTGAAAGTTCTAATAAAAATCTATGATTCACATGTTTTGTGGCAATGGCTATTATTCACTGTTGCAGAGCAGCGCTAGTAATCACAACATGGTTCGTCCAGCTCAGGTCAGCAGTTCAGTGATGCTCAATTCCAATGCACATCGCCTTCACTATCAACTTCCTCACCATCCTGCTTTGTGAATCTTCCCATCAACTAATTAAGTTCATCGACCCGTTTCTAATCTTTACTCTTTGCAGTGCTGAGCGCGTGTTCGCCGTCGGTATTACTCCACAAACCAAGTCATCCAAGAACCTGGACTACGTTGTAACGGTAAGTCAACTATACTCTGACAGGATACAGTCGGCACTGCACGCATTCGGGGAAAAACGCGTGGTAACCATCTGCCGAAGACACTGCGCATTACTTTTTAAGCTGCGGACTACTGCTCATTCATTCCTACTACATACACGCTTTACTATAATACCATTAGTTCGCTACGTCTTTGTTTGTTTGTTTTCTTTGTCCAAAAATCAGGTTTAATCTAAAGAGCAACTCGGAGAGGGTAGAGTCAGGGTTGGGATGGATAAAGCATGAAATAAGATGTGCAGGTAGCCCAAAGACTGAGAAAAGTGGACGGAGGCTAACGAGGTGTTGATCGACAAACTGTGGGAGATAGACCCGAAATAGTCGGGCGTACTCGATATGGGCGGTGCTTCCCACAAAATTCCAGACACAGTCTATGGTAGAGTTCGAGGTCGGAAGGAATTTCCTGAAGAGGAGAGACATCCGACGAGAGTCGAGCGTATCTGTAGTGCCCGTAGTTAGCGAAGCAAGCCCTCGAGAAGTGGTCATTTTCAAAAAGTTGTAGTTCAGTTCCAGAGCGCTCAAGAGAGGTGGACTGATGTCAGCAATGCTTCATTGGTGGAAAAGAGCGCGATGCACTTGCTGCGGGCGAGGCGTTAGCCGCGGGTGGCGGGGCAAAAGACATAATCCAGCAATTGGTCCCACAAACGCTCAGGTATCGGAAAAAAGTGAATTAAAGCCAGCAAGGGTCACCGGATGAGAATAGGAATACACTTCGTGGGAGGGGCGCGGCCGAGGTAGGCGGGAAACAGCAGTGATCAGGAATCGCTTCCTGAACCGTCCAGGTACCGGGAAAAAAAGAGACTTAGGGTCAGCGGGTGCTTGTTGTATGAGACATCCTATCTGTGGGTGATGGGTGTGGCGTAATCGAGGTATGTGGGGAGCAAAAATCAGTTCCAGAGATGCCCGGCTACTGGGAAAACGTGGATTAAAGGCAGTTGGCACGATGGTTTCTTACTTAGCCTAAAATGCTAGTAGGCTGTATAGTGGGGAAATGAGTAGGGCGCTGTATAGTGGGGAAATGGCGAAAGAACGGAGTGAAACGGTCAAAATCCTGCGAAGAAAAAGCCTCCGTTCTCAGTGACTTGAAAATCGATTTCGGACGAGTTTCCCGTAGGCATCTTGCCAATCACCGCTACCGAAGATACGGCTGCATATGTGTACCCATGTATGCATGCAGCATCACGGCCGCTTCATACCAATCCCTTCGCTTCATTAGCAAATGAATGAATACGAGCGTCAGGAACGGTCGTCCATTTGTGGGCGGGCGGGCGTGGCGGGCGTTTGGGACGTAAAGTTGTGGCTTGATAGGGCCCTTATAAGGGCAGGGAAACCGCTATGCAGCGCCTGCCCAGGGTCGCGGAATTCTATCCTGCCAGGAGTATTGATCCTAGTCGTCTTGAGGGATTTATCGGGCCAACTGCATCTAAGGTGGGCAGGGAGTCACCGGATGAGACATACCCTCGCTGGGCAGTCTGTGGGACGTGGCCGAGATGTGCGGGAAACAGGGAAAGTTTATCGGTTCGAGAGCCGCTCAGGTGCGAGAAAAAAGGATTGAATTCAGTAGAGGGTCACTGGATGAGACATACATCCTGCAGGCCGTTATGCCGCAGCCGAGGTGGGCGGAGAACTGGCAAAGTTCAAAAATCGGTTTCAGAGTGTGCCCAGTAGCTATGAAAAAAGTGGACTAAGGAAAGGTCAGTGGGTCACCGGGAGACACGCACTTCGCTGGCGGTGTGCTCGCCGAAGTGGGCGGTCAAAAGTAAAAATTTCGGAAACCGGTTCCGGGGTCTCCAAAAAGCGCCGAAAAATGGAGCAAGGTGAGCAAGGGTGAGAGATGAACTGGGGAAACTCCTACTCAGGTGCAGTCTAGTAGTAACAAGCAAACGGAATTATCGTAATGAGAAGCGCTTCGCAAGAAGCCGTGCTAGATCTAATATGATCCAACTTATCTACTTGCATCCTGTGTTTGTGTTATGTGAAGCACCCTATTCGTGATCTCTAACTAATCTGTTACGAGTTCAGCGTTCCAAGTGTGGAATGACATTGTACAGCAAGTCCGAGTTGATGGTTCCGTTTGTGTTCTCGTTCATGAACAACTGCGAGCCCAACTCAGCAATACGCGTACATGCTGAATACACCGAGGAAAGATACGCAAATAAAGCCGTTGAGCGTTGTCCAAATCATCAGTACAAAGATAGTAAGTTCATTTGTTCTACTGTGCAATATTTACAGGCATGTAAAACAAAAGATGAACTTTATGCAAATCTGAAAATGTAAAGCGCTTGCAGCGAGTGCGGATGTCCGTCAACATTTTGTTCGATGTGAACACCCCAGAGCCAAATACATGGACAACGACGGCAGCTATTTTGTGCGCATTCCGATGTGTGACACAACCGGGTTCTCATTTACCTGCTTCAGTTCCTGCTCAGGTGGAATTAATCGTCGTCCACTGCAGCTTGTGTTCACATTGGAGTCACCGTATGTTGTTTTGCCTTATCACCTTATGAAAGTGTGAGAGAAAATTGAAGGAATATGGGTATGGCAGGCTAGCGGGTAACAGGGGTAATTGATGTGGCTTGGGTTCCACTTACAGTACGATTGTAGAATCAGCCGTGTGGAAATACGTAGTAAACGTTCCACATGCATACCGATTCTGATGGCTTTTCTTAGCCGTTCAGAAGGTTCTTCGCCTGCGCTCTTCCCTACTTTCCCTAAACTCGATTCTTCGAAGCAAACAACCTGCTGGGCTTTAAAGTTTCTCAGGAAGTGGCATTTACTAAGAAAAAGCTTCATTCAGCTTTAGGCACTTGATCACTTGAGCTTGAATGGAAGTGGGGTTCATGTGGACTGCATGTCCTACTCTATGCTCTCATTGATTTTTAAAATCGTATTCTATCGGAGAGGTTCTACGGAGAACAAGACAGAGGATGCTGAGGACGGACCACTTTCCTTATACGCTATGATTGATCCTGACGCTCTCATATTTATATGCTCCTCAAGGATAAGCTCGCTGGGGAAAGAAGATCATCGTCTCGATGGGATAGAGTGAATGAACAGTGACCAGGATGGGTGCTTAAGACTGGGTTTCTGACCCTTTTATGCAGTAAAGAAAGGGTGGTGCGGTGGCATTCAATATGAGGAGAAAGAATAAGCGTAGTAGGGTGAGTAATGTCCTCCACGCTTCCCCAAAGGTAGAATGCTGCCCAATACAACTATACAGTTCCGCACCGCCTGCTCGAGAGTCTGTTCAATAAAGGGGAGCTCGACCGCTATAGAAAGCGGGTCGTCGACGACTCACAGGGCCCCGACGATGCATGGCCTCTCAACCCTCAACACGCAAACATTCTTTTGAGAGCGCCACTGTGGTTTGGGAAGGAATCACTATCTTGAAGAGATTTAGCGTGATCGCTATTCTCCTCCTGTCCCTAACTGCATTGGTTATCGTTCAGGTTGCTC